ATGGGTGACTACCGCTCACATCCCACCTTGATCCCTAAATCCTGCTTTTCCCACCTGGGGATGGGAAAAATCCCATTTTCCCTTGCACAGGGGGACGCTGATCCCACGTCCCCGTTGTCCCTGCGGCATCTCTGGCTTCCCCCAACCAAAGAAAGACAGAAAGGGGAAAAAGGTAAGGGAAAGAATTCAAAATCAAAGAAAATCTGACATAAAAGGAAATTTTTTTTTTTAAAAAATCAAATAAAGCAAAATAAAACAAAACAGAAGAAAATAAAGTAAAATACAATGAAAAAAAGAAATAAAATTTAGAAAAACCAAATCAGCCAAAACAAAATGAAATAAAGTAAAATGAAAATAAAATACGATCTTAAAAAAATAAAATACAACAAAATGAAACAAAATAAAATGAAATAAAATTTGAAAAAAATCAAATAAAACAAAACAATATAAAATACTATTTTTTTTTAAAAAACAAATAAACAAAAAATAAACCAAACCAAAATAAAATAAAATAAATAAATAAACCAAAATAAAATGAAATATCTTTTTTTTTTAACTTGAAAAATAAAAACAGAAAACAAAGTCAAACAACCCAAAATTTAATTAAATTAAAAAACCCCAAACAAATCATAAATAAACCCCTTGAAAGAAAGGGGGAGACAGGACCGAAGGGCGGCTCAGCAGTATGCCTGGCAACAGAAAATACTCTGGAAAGCTCCATTTTTGGGGGATTTTCCTCCTTTTTGGTGGTGTTTTGGGAAAGGGCGAGTGCCAACATGCAACACCCAGGGCGGATCCAACCTTCCCGCAGCTAATTAGCTCCTCAGGGCTCCTAATTTTGCTTTTCCAGAGGTTTTTCTGGAGTTCTCTGAGGGTGAAGATGACAGGGGTGGGATTAAGAGAGAAGTCATTAGTTAACAATGCTAATTAGCCCTATCATGGGCGTGGCTTTGATGTCATGCTATTTACACCTGGAGGGATTTCTTGGTCCAAATAAACCTCAATGTGTAGAGTTGGTTGGGCAAGTGGTGGATGGTGACACTGGAGGGGACACCAGCAGGACAGCTCAGCCCATCGCTTCCCTCCTCCCCTGTTGAAAAACAATAACAATAATATCAAAAAAAAAAAAAAAAAAAAGGTTCTGTCTGGGGAAAAAGATTCCAAAAAATAATAATTAAAATATCTCTATTTACAACAAACTCCAGTAACCGGCCTATAAACAAATATAGCTTCAAGTAGTCCGTGATTATTATTATTATTTTTTAATACTGATGGTCTCAAAAAAAAAAAAAAAAAGGGGGGGTTAGGTCACGTTAAAAAATAAAATTAAAAACAAAAAAACAACCCAAAAAGGTGGTTTTTGGCAGATTTTAACGCTTTTCCATGCGCTGGGCGTGGATGAGGTGGTTGAAGCGTGGAGGGCTTGGGATGCTCCAACGGGATTTCTGGGCTTTGTTTTCTCCTCCCAAGGAGGGTTTGGTGGCACAACGCTGTGGGATGCTCCAAGGGGAAGGGCCGCCAGTGCCCCTCCAACCCTCGCAAGAAGGTCCCAAATGCCCCTCAACCCATGGAGGCCACCATTCTGGTCCCCTGAGGGCCTTCTCTGCTAAAAACCCCTCCTCCTGGGCCTCCAGGGAGCTGTTGGGTTGGAGCATCTCACACCATGAACTCGTTGCTCCCCAGGAGGACGAGGGGTTGGGTGGTGGCGCAGTCAGCCTCGGGGTTCCTCTTGCAGGGTCCCCCCCCTGTCCCCCCATCTGGAGGCTCTTTGGTTTTTGGGGGGGAGGTTTTCACGCTCTTCAGTTTCTGTTTCCCTTTCTCCGGGTTGAACGTCCCGCGGGTGGTGAACTGAGGCCGGTCCTCAGGATACCGAAGAGGTCCCACAAAGCCCTCGGGGCTCGCTCGGGTTTCGGGGGGTTCTCCAGATCCCCCCGCTCTGTAGAAAGGCGATTTGGAGTACATCTGGAAGCGCTTCCGGGGTAGGTGGGGCAAGCAGGAAGTGGACGATTGGGAGGAAGAGGAAGAGAAGAAGATGGTGGGCTCAGCTGGGTCCATTGGGTCGGGCCGTGGCCTGGGGTGTCTTCGTAGCCGGCTTGGCCCCTCCGCCTTGGTGGGACGCAGGGAGGTAAGTGCTACGCTTCTCTCTGGGGTGGAGAGGGAGGACCAGAGGAGGATTAACACCCTGAAACCACCTGGCATAAAATCACAGAACCACTGTGGTTGGAGAAGACCTTTAAGATCATCGAGTCCAACCGTGAACCCAGCACTTCCATGTTCACCGCTGCCTGGCATCTCCACACCGCTCCACCCAAGGACACATGCCATCAAGGCAGGACAACCTGGGCTGATGAGTCACCTCCCCACCGAACCCTGGGTGCTCCCACCCACCTTCCCACGTCCATGGGTTCTAACACTCAACTCTCCTCTTTCCACCCACCCTCAATGCTTTCAATTTCCTGCAGGCAGAGAAAACAGAAAGAAACCTCCTCCAAGCTACAGAAAAACCTGAGCTACCTGTTCTAGTTGCAGATGTTCCTGCAAGGAGCACAGGGCTTGGCCAAGATGACCTTTGGGCCAAGAACTGGATTTACCCGAGCGATCGGAGATGGCTCCTTCGGAGTCAAAGTTCAAATTTTCGGAGCTGTCGGCAGTGCCGATGGAGGCTTCAGACTCGAGGGTTTCATCATCGGAGGCGCGGGGCTCCAGCGTCAGCATCTCGAATGTCAGCTCCTCCCTGCCAAAAGCAATCCAACCCCATTGACTCAAGGGGACCAAAAGAGGCGGGAAGGAGAAAAAAAGGGGATTCACATCCGCCAAGAGATCGTGGAGGCATGGAGTCCTCCAGGTCACCCTGTGAGCGGCATGTCAACGATATGATGTCAAGCAACATCCACAAGTAAGTGGCTTGGACCCTTGGCCAGACTCACTTTTCCTTCTGCAGGCTCTCAATCTGCTCAGTCAGCACCTTCTCCTCCTGCTGCATGGCCACTTGCTGCTGCTCTGTCACCTCCATCTCCATGGCTTCCTCGCTGCTCATGGTCTCCTCGGGGACATCTGTCACCGAGGGCAAGCGCACGGCGACGGGAGATGTCGGGCTGGGGTAGGCCCCGCGTCGCACGCGTCCTTTGCCCTGGAGAGAGACATTGGTGTCACCAACACCAGCCAAGGGGCTTCTGCAAACATCTCAGGTGCCCACTCTGTTCTCCCACGGAGCGAAGAAGATGGCCATGGCCATTGGTCCTCGGTGTGCGGCCAGCAGTAGCACTCAGGACCCTCCAAAATCTCACCCTGGGCTGAGAGGTACCAGAAGGACTCAACACGCTGGAGGGGGTGAAGATGGAGGTGGTGGCGATGGAGGCAGTGAGGATGGTGCTGATGGACCAAGTGCAACTTGGACTTCCAAGCAAGCCTAGGAGGCAGCAGGATGGGTTTCCACAAAGCCCAAAGCCCAGTGCGATGTGAAGCTTGACCTGCCAGGTGGCCATGTTGGCTTTGGGTGGGAGCATCACCAGGGCAACCATCGCATCTCGCATCCTTCCCTCACCCACCTTGGCAAGCTGACTCCTTCAGCAAATGGTGACTCGCATCTAGTCACAATGTCCATGCTGATCTCATGTACATGAGATCCTGACACCAAGATCACCCCCAGTGGTCCATTCTTAAGCAATAAAAGTTAATTTTTGTGCCTGTGGTTAAATGCAGATTTAATGTGGCTCTTGAAGAGCCATCTTGAAGAACTAAGGCAAAAAGAAAGGACTCAAACAGGAGTTGTATGTACAGAGGAACATTATATATGCAGCCGTTCTAATCTTTTGAGGACTAGCTTTACAGATCTGCTCCATGGAGTAGAAGAAAAGGTGAATTTTAGGGGATGATGGACACCACGGACATTAAAAAGCTTTTCTCTCAACTGTTACCATAACCAGAGACATCTCAACTTCTCAATGCATCTTGAATCAAGATCAATAGATCCTGAACCAGTCAGGACTTAGAAGACATCAACCAGCCTGAGCTGTGCCCTTCTCCTGACAAGCATCACCCAAGATTAACCTGCATCTCCTTAGGGTTGAAGAGCTGGTTGCACTGAAGCTTTTCTCGACGTAGGACTAGTCAAACCCTGCAGCTGGGGCACTCTCAGGCCTTCCTGATGATCCATGTGCCCAGAGCAAGTTTGCAAGGTAAAGGAGCCTCCCCTTTTTCCCTTTAAAAGGGGGTTTTGCTCCATTTTACCCCTTTCATCTTTTCATGTCAGATCTCAGAGACATTTTTGGCAGCAAAGCCTCACCCGCAGCCTGGTCTTCTTCTGATGCCACCTTCTCACGTTGGCCTCTGAGACGAAGCACAGCTACCTGAATCCTATCAGCCCAAACCACGGAGATCCCAAAGGTCCCACCAGGTCATGGACTTAAGGCCCTACTTGTGAAACAGCATCATGGGACCAGAGCTCAAATTTTGCTCTTCTCCATCTCCTGACCCTCAGGGATGCTGAAAGATGAGGAGAAGTATCATGGGCTGAACCTGATAGGAAGGAAAGAGCCCCAGCAAGCATCCCCAAAAACCTGCAGGTGCTTTTCTCACCCTTCATGGTCTCACTGGGAACTCAAAGGCAAGCTGGGATGGAGTTGGGGAACACAAGGGTTGCTGGACTCCCTCCCAGTTCAAAATCTGGGTGTCCTGACCTTGTGTTCGTGGTGCTGGGGGTATTCCTCCTCCTCCAAGAAGGTGGAGGAGACCTTTGGACCTCATGGTCTTTGAGGCATCCAAGCTAGGTTTTTTTTCAGCAGCTTGATGCTGAAAGGCATCCTGAGTGAGCAGAAATTGGGGTAGGAAGGGATGAGCCAAGCAGAGCAAAGAAGAAAGCAGCACAGGATGGAAAGAAAAAAAAAGAAATAGAAGAATAAAAATAATGAGAAAAGGGTGAAAAGTAGGGGTTTTTTTTGAGGAGCTACGTGCAGGGCTGGCCATCCCAAACTCCTTCCTCCCAGGGGAACCTGCTGAAGAGACAACGACCCTGAGAAGCAGCACTGGGGGACTTGGGACGGGTAAGGTGACAGATAATGGCCAGTGGGATGGGGCTGGAATGATGCGAGGGAGGGAGGTGGGGACGGGACGAGCAGCAGTGAATACATACCGGGATTGAGCTGCGGGTTATGCTCATAAATCTAACTGCAATTAGTACAGGTTTCTGGATTAGAGAGGAGATGAAAAGGAAAGCAGAAGGTTAGAGCGTGCATGCCGTCACCCACCAAAAAAAAAAAAAAAACAAAACCAAAACACTTGGTTTTTGTTTTTTTTCAGGGTTTTTTGTTTTAAAGACTGGGATGAATGGGGCAGCCCCATGACGTTGGGAGGCTGCTGCTTGGATTTCATCCCTGAAAAGGCAGGAGTGGCATGGCCCTGAGGAGCACAGAGGGCAGGTCCAAGCAGAGGGGCCCCAAGCTTGGGATGACCGCGCTAAGCTGAGTCCAACCCTCTCCCACAGCCCAACGAGCCAAGCGTAGCGTGAAACCGCAGCCCGCTGGCCCCCCAGGAAGCGTGGAAGCTCAATGAGATGGGTTTGAGGCTCCCAAAAAGGTGGTGTGGGAGCAGGGAGGGCCTTTGGAGAACTCGGTTTGGGTTCAGCTAATGCGACTGAGCACGAAGAACAATGGTCCTGGTCTCCCATGGAGCGACGTCAAGCTGGTCAGTGAAAGGCTTGACTCAACCCAGGACCAAATAAGATCAAATGAAGGGAAAAACGTTGATCAGGAGCATCTGAGTCAGAGTGACCACCTTTCTATGGACCATTCCCACCTCCTTGTGGTTTGGCATGACTCCCTGCAATAGTGAGGAGCCACCACAGGGCCAAGGATCCCTGTCCTGGAGGAGATGGTGTGGGAGGTAGCGAGGGGTTTGGGAGGCTGGGATAAGCAGAAGATAAGGTAGGGTTGTTTCAAGGGCAAGGAGAGGACAGGATGTGACAGAGATGGCTTCGGCATCTCACCATTGATCTGCGGATCAAGGAGAGGCGGCTCTTGGCTTTGTTCTCTGCAAACTCCAGGCTGTTGATGTCCTTCAGACGGGCCTTGTATTTGTTCATCTGCTCGATGACGATTAATTCTACACAACTAAGGGAGAAGAAAAAACAAAAGAACACAAAATGGGAGGAGGAAATTATCTGATCTGAGCTGTCTCTGACTTGCCTGAAGATTCCCCCTGATGGAAAGGTACAGAGAAAATCTCCAGCTGGAAACCAAAGGGTACTGGAAATCCCCCTAAAAAGGGTGCTAGCAAGGGTGATGGGGCAAGCACTTCACTTTTTTTGCATAAAACCTTTGCAATTGTGTCAAACACCTTAAAGAAATCTAAGTGCACCATATTAATATTGCTGCAGACCAGGCAAACCTCTCTCTCTCTCTGGAAGTCCCTGACAGGAGGTTGGAGCCAGGTGGGGGTCAGGCTCTTCTTTCAAGGAACAAGCAACAGGACAAGAGGCAATGGCCTCAAGTTGCCCCAGGGGAGGTTTAGGTTGGAGCTGAGGAACAATTTCTTCCCCTTGAGGTCTTCTCCAGGGCTGTGCCAGCTGCCCAGGGCACTGGTGGAGTCCCCATCCCTGGAGGGGTTACCAAGCTCTGGAGATGTGGTGCTGAGGGACATGGGTTAGTGGTGCCCTGGCAGTGCTGGGGCAATGATTGGACTCGATCTGAAAGGTCTCTTCCAACCAAAATGATTCTATGATTCTAAGCTCACCTCCTCAAATAAAAAAAAAACCAAAACAAAATTAAGAAAAAGGTCCTGCTGAGTTCCTTCATCACCTAAAAATCCCCATTCAACAACCTCTTAGGGACTGAAAGTATATGAGAGATCTTCATGGAGATGCCTTTAATACACGTTGATAATTTCCAAGCTAAAGTTCTCTGTTCTTGAGCCATTTGATCATACTAAGGGTCACCAAGATGTGAGTGGTGCCATGGTGGCAGTGGTTCTGGAGCTGGATCATCCAGCACATGCTCTTACGTGGTTGTTTTACTGATGTCCTGGACACTCTGTAGTGGGTCTGTCGTGTCGGGGCAGCGGAGGATACAGGGAGCAAAGACGATGGCCAAGGCGTTGGCTGACATGCGATTGGTCTCTTCTTGGAGGGCAATCCTAAAAAAAACCCCAGGGATTAAGAGAGAAGTCAGAGGTGGAGGCACCGCCACCGTGCCACATGGCCATGGATGAAGAGAGGAGACAAGATTTCTGTGGTGCGATCAAGCTCTGCTAGCAAGCACGCTGCTCTGCTCGGTGGACAAAGCCAAACCTGAAGGCATCTCAGGTGTTCCCGAGGCAGGCAAACAACCAACGATTTCCACCCAAAAAACGTGTCCTCACAGTGACGAGAGGCACCACAGACCTGCAGGCACCATTAGTGACCTGAGCTTGCTCATCAATACAAGCATCATTTGGAGAAACAGCTCTGGGGCCACCTCCTGGGGGACATGATGGCCCCAAAGGCTCTTCCCTTGCCCTTGGACCACCACCTGTTTTTGGTCTCAGCTATTCCAGTATGAAGGAGACCCAATCACCCTCCCCTTGCCCATTGCCTGAAGCTGCCCTGGCCCAACGTACCTCACCAGGTGGAAGATGAGGCGCTCCAGGGTGCTGAGATGGGTGCGGGAGAGCTGGTCGATGACCGAATACACTCCCCGCACTGTCTCCTTTCTCTCTTGGAGGCCTGTAGAGAAAGTACCAGCACTTAGGGGTGAGCTTCTTCCTCCTATTTAAAATTATATTTTCTTCATGCTTACATAGAAAAGATGGACCTTCTGGCCAATGCTTTGGCCTGAAATCTGCTGAAGTGCCTGTGGCTTTGCATAAAAAGACCTCTTACAGCCCAAAAACCAAACTTTGAAACCAGGTAAATAGAATTTGGCAAACCCAGCTGGTTTGAGCCCCAAAATTTTGTCCCTAAAAGTGGTCACCAAGGGAAGAGGACAATCAATAAGGCTCCTTACCCATCGCCCGCAGAAACTCCTCGTAGAGCTCGAAGGTCATGAGAGGGTTGGGCAGATCTCGGAGCCACTGCTTGAACACGCTGGCGATGACATGGATGTTGTAGTCATCTAAATTCACATTATCAATGTCTGGGTTTGGCAGCAGATCGAGGAAAAAAGAAAAAAAATGAGGCAACGATCAATATGAAGCCATTAGTGAAGCTAGGGAGTTGAAGTAGATGACCTTTAAAGGTCTCTTCCAACCCAAATGGTTCCATGATAAGCTGCTCCTCTGTGATAGAAAACGTTCATGTTTCACCCCCAAATCACACTGTACTTAATGGCAAGAAATCCAGCACCAGATTTCAGCTCTATAGGTTAAAATTAGAGAAGATTGGATTTTCTAGGGCAAGCAACCTTAGGTGGGACCAGGCTTTCTTCTTTTACTGGCATCAGTTGCTATGGTGGAAGTAAGGCAGCATTTGCCCTCAACTCAACTTTTTTTCATATATTGTACCCAAAAAAAGCCATGAGCCGGTGACTTGAGTTTTGGCTGCACACATGAAAGCATCACTCGCCCAGCTCACAGTGGGGGAAGGCTAAAAGATGGATCTTCTGGCTAATGGTCTAGGCTGACCCAAAGACTGGATCACTCCCTTGTCTCACCCCCATGATGCATCTCCCCTTCCTTACACCCAAACTTTGCAGATTCCTCCCTGCGTGCTTTCCCTCCGCCCCCCCCCCCATCCTTTTACCTGTATCAAGTCCTTGCCGCAGCTCCTTGATCTTGTTGGTGGACCCTGACTTTCTGTAAATGCCCTCTGTGTACAGCCCGTGCATTTCAATGTAGTTGATGAGCTTCTCCACCAGCACCGGCACTGCTCGGTCCTCGCTGGTCAGCCGTGAGAGCTCCACGCCAAACTGCCGAGGTGAGAGCTCGGGATCATACTGCGGAGGAAAAGGGGAAAAAAAGGGGGACAAAAATCCTTTTAGGAAGCTATGCTGGTGCAGCGCTTGGGTCCAAGTGCTATTCAGGCTTCTTCAGATGATCAAAGTGATTTTCAAGACAGTCTCAAGAAAGAGGACAGGACGGCCAGCAACGCATGTCTTGCATTGCAACTCTAAATTGGTCTCTGGACATGCACCTGAAGTCATAAAAGTTTGGATTTTCTCTCTTTAATCACCCCACTGTGGTTGGACATGGTTGCCCTCCACCTCCTGCCCCTCTGAATCTCCATCTTGGGTACTTAGATCAACTGACTCCACTGGCAGTTACAAAATGTCTGTGAACAAAATAAGAGGATGAAAAAATCCATCCCTATCTGTCAGCGAAGACCCTTTTGTCCCCTACAGACTCTCACTGGAGGTTTGACATCTGCCAAATCCAAATATGAACCAAGTCCTCCCTGCATGGGTGATTCTCAGTGGGAAAAGTCAAAAGACCTAATAAAATTTTGGCACAAATGGCCAGCCCCAGCAAAGGGAACTCCATCATCAGTGAGATGATGATGGCCATGACCCAGGTCACAACTCCCCTTATAACCACTCCTGCATCTTGTTTTTCCCATTCAATGTCCTCCTTGCATTGATCTTGTCAACTTTATGAGATGGTGTGGGGAAGATGCCCATGATGTTCCATGCTTGAAATGCTGGGGTTTGAACCCCGAGCCCCCGAATTAAGGTTGACATATGGGTGATTCCCACAGCCCTTCATACAGAGGTGGTGAGTTTGCCTTATAGCTTCCCCCCAGGGTGCGGCCGGCCCTGCAGGGAGAGCCAGAAGGGAAATGAGCCCCAGGGGTCCCGCATTGAGTTGACAAAGGCGAGGTGTCCCTGCTTGGGGATAAAAGCTGGGACCACTTGCAGGGAGTCAGGAGTGTCTGTCTGTGGAGTGCACTCCCCAGAGCTTCCTGGTTCAGGGCAGACCTCCTGACTCTCCCTGGAGCTGGGCCCTGGTCTGTTTAGGCCTTTGCAAACACGGTCGAATTGGGTGAGAGTCGCCATGTGGGCACCTTTTTCTTATGTATTTAACTGGCTGGTCTGGCTGTTTCCCATGCCAACTATGGGCAACCTCGGTTCACTGTTTGTACCACCTGTTGTGGGCCGAGTCATGTCCGTTGTGGGATCGTTGGGGGTGAGGTCGATCATGTATGAGCTTGTTGACCTGTTTGTACCCCCGGTGGTCATTCATATAGTAACATTTCAGTCTACAATACAGTCTGTGTATTGGCTTATCTCCCTGCTGGTGCTATAATTTTTGTTGGGCCTGGTCATTGGCAAAACAATGCTCTAGGGGAAAAAATCACGCCAGGAACATCTGGTCTCAACCATCAGATGAAATTCATCACCTGCTTTTCAACCAACCTGCATGGCTGCTATAACCAAACCATCAACAAATGCAATGCCACAAAGCCCATGTCCTACTTAAATTGTGTATCTCTGAGGTGAGGACCAAGCATGGGTGAAAGCAATTCTATGGCCATCAAGAGGGATGACCTTGGTGTTTCTCAATTCACCATAGATCTAGAAAAAAAAGATCCAGTCTGGGACAAAGCCAACAGTTACAAAATCAAATGTTGCCAGAAAATGAAGCATAATTTTTCTCAAAGCATAATTTGTGGCTTCCCATTACTGGAAACTACCCTGGAAATGTTAACCCCCCCAAGCACAGAGAAGTGAGAGCATTCCTAGAGAAGGACCTCCAGCCGCCCAAGTGGAAAGTTACCGTGGAGACACAAGCACAAAACCTTCCTTGTGCAGAGAAAACCCAAGAATTAAGAAGGCTCTGAGAATCTCTGAGCTTCTCTGAAATAGAAATAATCAAAGACCTCTTTGAACTTCTCAGATTTTAGAGCAGAAACTCATGAGGTGTCCCCAGCTCTTGCAGAAATACTGTATCCTGACTGTATTATCCATCTCTGGGGCACAACATAAGCTATTTACAAGAAGAATCACCAACTCTGGATGAATCAGCATTATATCAGGTTCTGCAACTCCAAATGTTTTTCGATACAAGCTTAAGCTTGTAATTTGAAAGGTATTTAATGAAAGAAAAGAAATTAGAGACATTTACCTTCTTGGAGCACTTGGTCGTGGTTTTAAGACAGCACTTCTTGTGACAAGCATATTTACATACTGCAACCGAGAAAAATAGTCTTTAATAATCCCAAAAAGTCACATTGCTGGAGAAATATGACTTAAGTAGCTCCTCCCAGGACTAGCAGGTCAAAAGCATGTTGAATTTGCAGTCCCCAGGGGCCAAGTCTATATTCGATCCACTCAAACCAAGAAAAATATGAAGCCTTCAGTTTCCAAGTATTTAAAGTCCTCCTCCATTTTCCTCATCTCCCCCAAAATTCACATGCCTAGAGGTCAAATAGGCCAAGCTAGATGAATTTGTCATGGTCATGAGACCCAGAGGCGTCTGGGTCAAAGCCGTGGGGCACGTTTGCCACACCCAACTCTACCATCCTTCTTCCTGGGACACTTAAGTATGGTTTGACCTCATGGGACAACCGTGTGACCTCACAGGATGCCTATATGACCCTCTAGGGTAAGTTGCATAACTCACAAAACTGTACCATTAAGACTGGAAGGTCTGCTGGGACAGTTTTACTAGTTGATTTCAGAAAACCTTAAGATCTGTCTGAAAAGCTCTTCTAATGGGAAAAAAAATCAACTTATCTGAGTGGAGTTGTGGGAAACAGCAGCAAACACCTTTCAAACTCCAGAACTTCATGGCTGTGATGCAAGTGCATGAAAAAAGACCAAAAAGAGGGTTCTTACATTTACAAACAGAAGCCCTGTCCATTATCCAGATCAAGGAGGAACAATATTCACAGTAGGTGGGGATGCTGTACTGGGTCGCCTTAAAAATGTGACCATTGTGCTCTTCCACCTGTGATGAGAAAGGTCGGGGGGTGAGAAAAAGGAGATAGGGAGATGAACTCAGTCAGTTCTCCAATTTTTAGTGGTTATTTGCTTTTATTTGCTATTTTGATCTCCTTTCCAGCCCAATAACCCCATAGACCACTCAAATGGACATCCCAGTCTGTATAGGAATGGAACCATCACGCAAGCAGGTTAGAAACTGTGGTTGATTGAGGTTGGCTGGTCTTCTCCATGTTATGATTGTCTTCTGTGTGTCCATGGCCTCTTTTGGCTCTGCACCTGCATTCTTTCTAGTGCTATCATACCCTTTATTGTTCAATGTGTAGGCACAGAGTACTCAACTCACCACATCCACTTCCTTTTTCCTTCTCTTTTTTCGTTCTGTTTTTGGCACCTGGTATTAGAAAGAGATGTAAGTAGTTAGGGGCAATTTCTCCAAGTAAAGAGCAGAAGGTTCGTATCTAACATTGTCTGCTGCTTTCCAGCCCCATCCTCCTGCATCTCTGCAGCCCCAAGAGAGGCACTCTAGAAAACTCTCCCACAGATTACCCCATTTTCAGTAATCCTCTGGACAACTGTTGCCATCTTCATCTCAAAGCTGAGATTAGCTGTTGCTTTAGCTCCCAGCCCAGCACCAGAGACCTAATGCTCTCCCAGCTCATGCAAGATGCCCAAGGAGAACATGGCACAGCAGTGCCATGTTCTTCTCTGAAGAAAACCTGCCTGGATAGGAGCCTGGGGAGAACTTGGAGCAGAACAGTCAGAAGATGGGACATTTGTACAATAAACGCTATCTCCCAAGCCCAGCCTGAGACCCCTGTGGTCCTCACAGACAATACGGAGCAGAAAGTGAGAAGATCAGGTGAAAGGAACACTACAAGCTTTCACTGCTAAAAAACTGTACCTAGACCCCAAGGGCAGCCACTGCCCATGTCCCCTTCTCCTGCAACCCAACCAATGAAGTATGTGGTCGCTTGGGAAAAGGTCAAGAGACTAGGAAAGTTTGTATGTCTTTCACTTTCCCTCAAAGATTAAAAACAAAACCAAAAAACTAACAAAGAAGCACCAGGATTTGCCTGTCCAACCATCCACAGCCAGTTGTGACTTTGCCCTGGAGGCAACATCTACATGTTGGCATTGGCCAAGGCCCAGCTCTGTGCAGATGTGAACTGGGGTTTGCTGAGCCCAGTGAAACACAGCCAATGAATCATGCCTTGTGTGCCAGCTCATGTTGTCCACCTCAGCTTAAAGAGCAGGAGAAGACAACAGAGGTTCCCATGTGTGTACAGAGAACACAACCCCACAGAAAGACAATTCTGAAATCTTCAAGTGGCTTAAGTGCTGACTACCTTCACCGTGGTGTAGTCCAGAGGTTTGTATTCTATCATATATTCATCCAGGAAGACTTTGAAGGTATTGACCCAGACTTTAACTGGAGACTCACTCCAGTCCCTCTGCTCAAGCCTCATGGTCTTCTCCAGAATCTGCTCGAATAAGGCGTAGAGGTCCTTATAGCGGATGCTTTTCCCATCATCCATCTTTTGAGGAAACAGAAGCAAAAAGAAAAGCATTTTTTTTCCACACACCCCAGGCTGCCTTTTCTGCTCCAATTATTTCAGCCTGACGAGCTTCCAACTGCTCAGGGGAAGTCCAAGTATGATTAAAAGAAAGAAAAAAGGTTTGTCTAGTAGATTTGTTCTGTGACCTTTGGTAGGTTGGCTCCTGAGTGCACAGAGCAGGAGGACGTTAAGTGCTGGCTCAAGTCTCAGAGGGAACTTTTTGTACAATCTAGGCAATAAAATAGCTTTTTTGGATCACTGTGACAACAAACCATAGCAACCACTGCTCAGACTCTGAAGTAGCAGAAGAGCAGATCTCCACACTGATCCAACATTTCCACCACTCACAAACTGAACACAAAGGTTATTTGGTAATTTGGGTGGCAAATAAAAGTTTGTGGGCTTACTGTCGTCTCCCATTGGACTGGGAGCGAGCAGGCATGAGGAGATCAGAAATCCCCACGGAACACATATTGAGAGCTGGCTCATGAGGAGGTGTTAGATTAAATTTACAGTTCATGAGACTGAATACAAAGGAAGAGCATCACGGCAACATCATCGCCACCAGGAGGACCCAGAGCATCTCTGGTGTGGTCCCCAGAGCTCAGTATTGGAGCCTGTGCTCTTTAAGATCTTCATCAATGACCTGGACAAGGGGATCGAAGGCACTCTCAGTAAGTCTGCAGATGACAACAAGCTGGGTGGGAGTGTTGATTTGCTTGAAGGTAGGGAGGCTCTACAGATGGGCCTGGCCAGGCTGGAACCATGGGCCAAGGACAATGGGATGAGGTTCAACCAGGCCAAGGGCCAGGTCCTGCCCTTGCGTCACAACAACCCCCTGCAATGCTCCAGGCTGGGGGAAGTGTGGCTGGAAAGTGCCTGGTGGAAAAGGATCGGGGGGGGGTTGGTTGACAGCTGGAGAGGAGCCAGCATGTGCCCAGGTGGCCAAGAAGGCCATCGACAAACTGGCTTGGATCAGCACTAGTGTGGCCAGCGGGACCAGGGCAGGGATCATTCCCCTGGACTGGGCACTGGGGAGGCTGCACCTCAAATGCTGGGTTCAGTTTTGAGCCCCTCCCTCCCAGAAGGACCTTGAGGGGCTGGAGTGTGGCCAGAGCAGGGGAACAAAGCTGATGGGGAAGGGTCTAGAGCCTAAATGTGGTGAGGAGCAGCTGACAGTCCTAGGAGTGCTGAGCCTGGAGCAAAGAAGGCTCAGGGGAGACCTTCTGGCTCTCCACAGCTCCCTGACAGGAGGCTGGAGCCAGGTGGGGATTGGTCTCCCCTCAAGGAACAAGTGACAGGACAAGAGGAAATGGCCTCAAGTTGTCCCAGGGGAGGCTGAGGTTGGACCTGAGGAAAAAACTTCTTTACTGAAAGTGTTGTTCCACGACTGTCGCAGGCTGCCCGGGGCAGTGGTGGAGTCCCCATCCCTGCAGGGGTTTCCAAGCTGTGGAGATGTGGTGCTGAGGGACATGGGTCACTGGGGACCTGGCAGTGCTGGGTTAAAGGTTGGAGTTGATGAGTTTAAAAGTCTCTTCCAATAAAAATGATTCTATGATCTTGTTTCTCCCGGAGGTGGAAGTTCTCATATGACCTCCAGCCACTTACCGCCAATGCTGAGGAGTAGAAGCTGAAGATGTTTTGTCGGAATTCCTTCAATGCTTTCTTGAAGACGACATCCACCAGTGTGTCCTTCTTGCTGTCCTCATTATCCAGTTCATTCATCTAGGAAACCAAAGGGGTTCATGCACCCATGCCATGTTTGCCATGGTAGCGCATGACATGTGGTGAAGCAGCACTAACAAGCAGCTGCTCCACCACAGGTAGACCATGTGTAATAATGATTACAAGGCGGTTTCTCCTGTGTGCAGACTAGAAACACGAGCATTTCCCCACAGCCTTCAACTCCTGCCCTCCTAGGTGACTCGTTTCTGATTCCACCAGGGGTGGCTCAAAGCAACGGAAGCACTGAAGCTGCTATGCTCCAGATGAATGAGGATAATTTTGGCTTTGTTGCCTCCATCTACTCCTTGAGCAGCAAGGATGGGATTTACCTTTTTCAAGAGAAACTCGTCCATGCTCTTCAAGTCACCAGCACTGGTTATGATCTGCAGGGAGTCGTTCTGCCACTGCATGGGCTCCAGGGCCACGTTGCTGATCTTCACGCTGCGCTTGCGTTTCACTTTGGGAGAGGGCTCCTTGTTCTCCTTAAACTCCCGTCGGTAGATACCAGACAGCTCAGGACTCCGTGGAGGGGTCAAGTGGTGAGGACCCAAGTCTATGGGTGACAATGAAAAAAGGGGGAAAAAGATGACAAGAGGATGAAAAATAACTACTCTGCCACTAAAATGGGGAGAGGGGCATGGGAGTAAAGCTGGGGAGGAGAGAAGCACTGGGTGGTTCTCAGAGGGATATTAGATGTCATTCCCCCTTTGGTTGTTTCCTCCATCAAGAGAGGAAACATCTGTCCATGTCCAGATGACTGCCGGGAGGATTAGTGACATGGAATTCCTTGAGACCTGTTTTGGATCCCGCCCTCTAACCTACTTGCCACCATTTCAGGTTGACGCCATCCATGAACTCAAGAGATGTGAACCAGCACAGACATTTCTGTTCTCCTTAAACCACCAGCCCCATGCCACCTCACCACTTACCTTCACCTAGCTGCAAGCCAGAAATCACCTCCCGGCCTGGGGCTTCTTGCTCTGCATACAGCTCCAGCAGCTCAGACTGGGTAGCAAGCTTCTCCCGTGAAGTCTTCTTCTCCCCCTGCTTTCCCTTCACCCAGAACCTCATCTTGGCTCGCTGAGGCCTGGAAATAGTTCACGGAAAGAGAAAATGCCTTAACTAGGAACTCAAAACTACCCTCAGTCTCCTGGACTTTCATGGTCTTTGAGGTTAAATCCACATGTTCTATCAGGAGAAACCAGGCTAGTCATCCCCAGGAAAGGTGGAGCTTCAAAGGAAGCTGGGGTGGTTCAGCAAGGTGATGGAGAGAAAGGACGTGGAAGGGATTCGTCTCCCATCTCCAGCCATGTTTCTTACCTCCCATCTGGAGTCAGATTCTTCTGCGTGGCTGCCAGCTTCCCGATCTCCCCCTGAGACATGGTTTTGTGCAGTTTTGTTTGGCCTTCTCCAGAGGTGAGTCTCTGCACTGTCTGTAATGATTCCGAGCATGAAGAGTTCAAAAAACAAGACAGCTTTTGGGAAGCCAACTGACTCTTTTTTTGTCCAAGCAAATATTACATCTATCATCTGTCACATCTTTATTTCTATCTGTCTACAGGTGAAAACATACAGGTTGAGCTACAACCTCTACATCTAGGTTCAACCTTCTTTCTCCTTGAGTAACCAGTGATGAAAATCAGTGTGTACCAGGACATGGGTCCTCACCACTCAGCCTGCACAACTGCTCCAGCACCTTGCTCTGGGCAACCCAGCTCTCCACCCCAACAGAGCTGCGTTGGCCATGACAATGTGATTTGTGGTGTTCCTAGCAGCAAAGGAACCTTTGACCACATGGACCTGTCCCAGCTGAGCTTCCAGCTCTTGTTGAGGTCTTTACAGAAAAGAAGACCAAAGTCTTTGTGCCAAGGACATGTCAAAATGAACCCTTTAGAAAAAAGAGACTTAGCAGCTTTAATACTTTTAGCCACCATTTAAAACGCCCTGGGATCAGACCAAAGAATCAGGTTGTGTGAAAGGATTTGGTCAAATATCTCCTGTAGCTTTCTCATCATCTAGATGTCTCAGCTGAATACCCTGTGGGTTTAAACATTTCTTTTTCTTCTATTAAAAATATTTCAGTAAAACGATATCAAATATGGGATGCAGAGGAGCCAACATTTACCATAATTACCCTTTTTGGATGTTTCATTTTTGACCCCTGGGCTAACATCTCCACTAGCCAGGAGATGGCAGCACAAGAGGCAAAATTGCTCTTGGGAGAGGGTGGAAAAAAAACCCTGCCTGAACTATCAAAGGGTTTCTTGTTCCTGTTGATCTTAAACTTCGGTGATGAGCACGCATAAATTGCAAATATAACCTTTTTTAGGCAAAACTGGAAAGATTTTCTATCACCACCTCTCTTTACTCTGCCCCAGTTCTTGACCTGTTCAGCATTTCCTCTGCTATTACAGCAACCTCTCCAGCTTTTGAAAGTAGGGACTAAAAGGCATTTTTGGCACAAAATCCTTCAGTCTGAGGGACTCCTCCAAGAAGCTCCAAAGGGAAAGGTCCTCATCTGGATGGGAAACCTTCTCACAGATGTCAGGGTGAGCATCCACACCAGAAAATCCCCAGCCAGGGAACACCACAAAGCATCACATACAGGCAAGTGCCAATAGCTGGGGGTCTGGAGTTGTCCCCTGGGTGAAGAGGAGACCAAATATCTTTCCTCTGAAAGGGCAACCTGTATTTCACCCACCCATTCTAGCAAGAGATAGCTATGGCCAAGTGAGTGGTCCCAGCAGGCTGCATTGAAGAGCTTCCTGAAGTGCAGTGCTCCCTGCGATGGCGTAGGACAAGAGATCTTTCTTGCTGTCTCTTCAAGCATGCTTGGGATCAGCTGGTGACAGACACTTGGACTGATGTTTGTCAACTGGTGGCTTTAGTGTGGAGGCTGGATCAAAATGACAGCTTCATTACACCCAGGTCCCCCTCTCCAATAGCCTCTGCCAAAGGAGGATGTATCCAGAAGGTATTTTTGGCAACGTTTCTCTGACCAAGGCTTTCCATTGATCTGCTCCAGGAAAGCTCTCCAGGCTTAGGTGCAAAACAGAAGGGCTATTAATATGTGATGACCACAGCTCGGAGCTATTCCTCCCACTTGCATTTGTCTCTCTGCAAGGTAGGTTAACCCTCAGCTAATCACTAGCCAAAAAACTCAAGGGACTTTTGAAGGCTTGGTCTCATCAGGAAGCCTTTTAGTTTTAAAGGCACCTTGGAGTCAACTGTACCTTCAGCAGTCATCTTATATACTAGTGTATCTTGTGTGTCAGCTCTGGCCGAAGATGCTCTTGGTTACCCCAGACTTAGGTCAGAAGCATCAGTTTCTGGTGGATCTCTACTTTCCACCTGGTGATACACAGTCATTGACTTGACAGTCAAGAAACTAATGGGTGAAACAGGCAAGTTCATGTCAGTGCAGCTGGAGAGCCATCACACGCTCCACTTCACAAGGTCACACGTGATCTCTGGTCTACCCAGCACATGAAAAGAGGCTTTTTTTGAAAAGTCAGAGCTGGGGGCAGAAGCTCTATGAAATAAGTTATTCACTAGCACGGAAACCAGCCTGCACATGGTGGCTGCCTGACTCGTCTTCATGTGACCATCACAAGATGCAATGAATGTGACTAGAGAAACATCAACCTACTTGAGTTTGGACCCAAACCAAGATGTGCCACTATTGCTTTACCACAGGCTGCTCCACCATCTGCAATGCCCAACCAGGCTCTGCTAATAAATATGAATAAGTAGGTCCTAAATCTGGCTACTTGTGGTGATTTTGACCCAAAAAAGGCCCAAGCCAAAGGGCTGGTCCCAAACCTGTGACACAGAACAGAGATGGAAACACTGTACACGTTGTGAGGACACACAGATGTAGGGTATTGCTGAGGACATGACTTCATGAGTAGAGTTTGCTAGAAAGCAGAACTTAACCACACAAGGGGTGAAAGTGCTGACCACCAGTTGGTGATGGAGAGCAGAAGAGAAGAGGGATGCAGGAGAGACCAGAGACAGTTGCTACCTACCACTACTCGCATGCGATGAGTGTTGTTAAACCAGGTGAGCAGAGCCCCAAGGAGCATTCCCAAAGAGTGGAATGAGCCAGGTTGCTCCCAAGGATGGAGCTTGCCAAGCACCAGCCCGACACCTTTCACATCCCAGTGGGAAAGACTTCTACAGCTAAAAACCTCCTGATGCTTTGTGAGAAGGTAACCTCCAGGAACACAGCGTGGCACTCCACGTATGGCGTGGCCGCTTGCCCAGAGCATTTTCCAGGCTATATAAAATACCCCATTTTGCTCCATAAAATTCTCCCTTTCCTGATCTCCATGCTCAAAGACACAGCCAAGCGACCTCGGTTCATAGAGCTGCTTCTTTTGAGTACTCCTGGCTCAAAATCTCTGGAAATTTAACAAGAGCAACCTTAAAAATTCAACGAATTTGTAAATCTCTGTCCTCTTCCAGTGAAGAAGTTATCCTGGGAAGAATCTATCCTTTATAATAAAAGCTGCTAATGGCAAAGTCACAAAAATCCCTCCTTGGCCATCTGCCTTCCTTGGAAAAGCAGATTTTAGGATTGCATGAGTTGTTTGCTGGACACATGGCGAAGCTGCAGCACAAACTAAATGGCTGACCTTGGTCTTCCTCCATTTCCTGGGTTTTATACTGAGCTCCACCATCCAGGACTAGAGCTGGAGCAGAGGAGCAAGGCCCCACCTGAGCTCTGATGGCAGAAGATGATTCCTAGTGTTTATCCACATTTCTAGGGGAACACCTCCATCACTTCAGGAATTAAAAATAGGAGTGGGTTGGAAGCCCTGTTGGCCTCTTCCACTCCTGAAGCCTCTTGGTTTGTGGTTTTCCAAAAGCAGCTTATCCAGGCGGGAGATTAAGCCTGAGATGCAAATGCTCAGCAGCACTGGCTCATGGAGCACGGTCCTGCAGCCCGTGGACTTGCCAAGGGACACCAGCTCCTGTGCTTGAAAAAGCCACTGAGGTTATTGGTTTTTTTTTGGTTTTTTTTTGTTTGTTTGTTTGTTTTTTTTTTTTTTTTGTTCTTTTTTTTTTTTTGTTGTTTTTTTTTTTTGTTTGTTTTGTTTTTTTTTTTTGTTTGTTTTTTTTGTTTTTTTTTTTAAAACCCACTCCTTCACCCTCACTATATTTTTATTGCCCAATTTACATGCGTTGGTGTTCTCCAAGATGCTGTCTCTGATAATTGAGGGCTGAATAATCATTTGTGGTTAAGACTACAAAATTAGAAGTAATGGGAGGTGCAAGATTTACATCGTTTTCTTGGTTGTCTGTTGCTTTTTGAACAATGCTTGCTTGGATCTTTCCTACGGATGTATGTAGATAATTTTTGGAGCAAAAGGATCCTTGAGAGGACTATTGCTGTTGAGGTTAAACCCAAGAAAAAGAGGTGGTGGTGCAATACAAGCTGCAATGCTCCAGGAAAACCATGGAAACTGTAGCTGATACCAAGTCAAACCAAAAAATCTCCCCATGGCCAAGAAATACAACTTATTTCCCCATTTCTGCTGTGTCCACCGAGTTTACCCCTCTACAGCATCCTCAGAAGTGGGAGAAGAAGCGATGGAGGGATCAGTGCGGTTAAGGTTAGCAAAGAAAGGCTCCCTGGTTTCATCTCCCCCACCACGGGTGAAAAATTTACCATTTCGGAGTCACTGTAACAGGCTTGCCCCAGCCAGGCTGCAGGCACCTCCTCAGGGTGAGGAGGTTGCTCAGAGGAGAGGAGGAACTCAAAATTGCCATCGTAATCATCTTCCTCCGTGTCCCCCTCCCCATCAGCAAAAGTGCCTCTAGTCAAGAAATCGGAGCGTGTCCGCGCCATGCGGGCTTTCTTTTTATGGCTCGGTCTGGGAACCTGCTTAACCAAATGATAAAAGAAAACAACACAAAACAATGGGTTTTTCAACAAAATGGAGATGCTGCAGATGTTTGGCATCATTGATTAGCTCCAGTACAGCCTTAAGGCCACTCTGAGTGACACCACACCCCAAAGGAGGGGACACAAGGTTACATCTAGAGCAAAAAAAAAAAATCTAAAGGGATGAGGTAAAACAAAACCCAAGACAGTATAGTGAAAATGGACAATCATGGATGTTACTCAAGTGGAGGCTGAACCAAACCAAGACAAGACTGCGTGGGACAGTATTTGCCGTCAAGACTGTGAGATCCTTTTTATCCAGAGTTGCTATAAACTCATGTTACAGGGGCTTTTGATTGGTAAGAGAAGTTGTGAAGTTTGCATGATATCTCCCTTCCCTGTCTAGCAGCCCTTGTGCTTTACAGTTCATTTCTTTGCAGCTTTTGAGAGAAATTGGCAGAATAAGGGTTTTTCACCCCTGTTCAACTAAAAGAGAAAAGAAACAAGTCACAACTTACCTCTCCTCTGCCAGAGCCTGGCATCTTAAACTGTTTCCTGGCTAGTTCACCCTTGGAAAGGCATTGATTTGCTTCTCTGCTGGAACACAACAGAACAGAGATGTTTCATCTTCTCCCAAGAGCCTTCCCACCATGCCTGGCCAGCTCGCAGGAGCATATGAGGGTGCAGCCCAAGCAAACTGCAAGCCTGAGGTCATGTGGTTTCAGAATTGCATTAAATTCCTCAGGAGTTGAGTTAATATTAAACTACAAGGATATAGGGAAGAAATTTTTGATGATGAGGGTGGTAAAACCCTGTCCCAGATTGCCCAGAGAGGTGGTAGAAGCCCCATCCCTAGCAAAATTCCAGGTGAGGTTGGCTGGGGCTCTGAGCAACCTGCTGCAGTTGCGGACGTCCCCGCTCCCTGCAGGAGGGTTGGATGAGATGACCTTTACTGACTGCTCCTGTTCCCCACCACGTGTGTCTTGACTTAAAGAACCTGCACAAATGAAATGTGAATCTCCCTCCATCCCATCAGCGCATAAGCCACAAGACTGCCACTCTTGGAGGTACCTCAAGGTATCAACAGTAAACATTCCCTGGTAGCTTGGGCAGCAGGATTTTGTGGGGGGTGGATATGTCCTTTTTGAGCTAAATGGCCTAAACCTCTCCAAAATTAGGCAGGGCAGCTTAAGCAACACAATGGAGTGAGAGCAAATGTCACCCCAAGATCTTGCCATGGTCTCTAGATCCTGTGCTGGAGCAGCTCCTCAGCTAAATAACGTGACGGAGCTGCACAATTCGCTAAGCCCATAACATTGACACTGAGAAACAGGCTCAGCCCACCAAGAAAGCCCACCAGGAAACCACGTTGTCCTTTTACTCACTGTAGGCCAAATGGATTGTCCTCTGGCGTGAAGAACATGGTGCCTGCCTTGGTCTCCTCAGCAGCCTGGTTGGGCATTCGGGGTTGCCGGAGGCGCTCCGTCCTGGAGAAGTGGCTGCCCGAGAGGTCCCTGGGGTCCAGAGCCAGTCTGGAATGGCCCTGGGGTTCCAGCGTCGATCCTGACTGACCCTCTCGTCGCTCCATGAACATGCTGACAGGTCTGTCTTTGGGGGCACTGCGGGCTGGAGAGCTTCCTCTGGGCCCAACGGTGAGACCTTTGATGTCCACCGATGAGGTTGGAGTCCCACCCATGGTGGGGCTGTGCTCCCCTCGGCTCTGGGGGTGCAGGATGAGGACCGACTGAGGCCGGCTGTCTGATTTTTTGGTTGCCTTGAAGGAGGGGTCCTTCGTTCTGCTCTGCTCAGCCCTCTGCAAAGCCTCCACTCTCCCTTGCTGTTCAAAGGCTTTGCGTTGTCTCTCCAGGATTTCCTTCTGCTGGCGGATCTGCTCCATCATCTCCCTTTCGTTCTGCAGCTGAAGCTGCTTTTGCCGTTCCTCCTTCTCCACGTTGAGCTTTTCCAGTCTCTCGATGACAGAGTCAGGAGAATGGGCCCGTGTCGCAGGTGCTGTCCCACGTTCCCCTCTCTTGGGAGAGGACTTCTCCTCTTCCTCCCTTCTCAAGGCTCCGCTCTGGTCTGGCTCAGAATCCTTCCTGCCCTCAGAAAACGTAACTGTCCTCTCTCCTCTTTCCACTGCTTTGTTCCTCAGGTTGTTCTCCATCAGCTTCACCTTCAGGTTGTCTTGTGGTGGGATGTAGAAGGTAGGCAGATTGCTGGAAAGGAAGGTTTCTCTTGGATGCGCCTTGTATATGAGGGTCTGGGGGTCACAGACCACGCGCTCCTTCATGTTGAGGCTATCAGGTAGTTCCAAGTCTGAAGGCATCCTTCTGGAAACAGGTAAATTGCTGTTCACATTTGCTGCACAGAAAGACTTCTGCAGAGGAGCCTGGGGACTGTTAGGCAAGGAGTCAGCGGCCAACGACTGCGCATCTTGCTCGTCTAAAACGAAGGGAACGAGTTTATTACTTGGGGTATCTTCACAGCTTAACATCTCAAAGCTCCCTTGAGAGCTTTCGCTCTCCGGGGTTCCCTGAGGGGAATGGAGTGCCTCAGACACGAGCTCGGTGGACCACCGTCGCTCTTCTGAAGGGGACAGCCCACTGGTGGACCGAACCTTGAGCAGCTCCAAGCTGAATTTTGCCTGTTCCAGTTCTCGCATCCTCCGGCTTTCTCTTTTTGCACGGACCACTTTTTTCTGGTTGAGATCCTCCAGTGACTTGGGCCTCTCTCTCACAACCACCTCCTCTTCGGTGTACACCCCGCTTTGGCTACTGGCTCTCTCGTGCCTTTTGTACAATAAATTTGCAGAGGGATCCAGTGGGTCCATGTGATTGACCCGACTGTTCTCCATCAGTGATTTATGTTCCTCTACAGCTCTCACTCGCTCTTCAAACGAGTTGTCCTCCCACTTAGATGGGTCAGAGCCCTTGATCCCCAAAGCTTCATCTGCCTCCAGGCCGTCCTCTTCTCTGACTGACAGGCTGTTGTCCAGCTGCATCTTTTTTAATCGCTGCTCTTTCAAAGCTCTAAACCTGCAAGAGAGCAGAAAAACAGCCAGTTGTACCCCCATGTCCACTCACAGCCCTTCAAGGCACCACGCTGGTGGCACCCCATCACCACCACCATCACCACCTCAAGCAACCCTTCTGGCACATCTGGTGGCAGATGCCTCACATCTGGTCTCTCCTACTCAAGGACTACCCCAATGCACCTGAAAGCTCCTCTCATGCTGAGGGCAGCAGCTCCAGCCTCCATCCCTGATCTAGCTTGTTGAGAAGCTGACAGAGCCAGAAGATCTCAACCCATCGCACCCCCTCAGCTTCTCCATCTTCACCACGCTGCCTGAGCTGCCTCTGGAAGAGCTAGCAAGGACTCACACCCCACGCAAGCTCCCAAATCTTCTACCCTATGTCAAAGTGCTCCACATCTTGCAGACAACTCCTCTGGAGAACAAACCAAGATCTGCCCTGTGGCCAGCATGCCAAGACATGGCTGGAAAGCCCTCTCCTCTTCTCCGTGGCTGGCTCTGGTATCTCCTGTCCCTGCAAGACAGCGCAGTGACCAGATCCATGAGGCAATCTGAGTTAAAAATAGGCTACTTAAAGTGGTGCTGCTGCCAAGGAGAAGGAAAAAAAAAAAAACCTTGTGAGTATTTATGGCCTCAGCTTTCCACTGCCTACGTGCTCCAACCTGAAATAGGTCCTGCCCAGTGGCAGAGACCTGCAGCTAAATAAAGTTCTCTGTGAGAAAGCGAGGCCAAAGGAAGGATCAGGGCAGGTCGGGAAAGGGCCAGGGATCTATGAAGGGACACCGTCCTGAGTCACCGTGGATCCAGCAGCAAGCAAATTCACAGGACCCTCGAATTATAGAATTGTTCTGGTTGGAAGAGACCTTTCAGATCATTGAGTCCAACCACTAACCCAGCACTGCCACAGCACCACTGACCCGTGTCCCTCAGCACCACATCTCCACAGCTTGGAAACCCCTGCAGGGATGGGGACTCCACCATTGCCCTGGGCAGCCTGCGACAGTCCTGGAACAACCATTTCAGTGAAGAAGTTTTTCCTCAGGTCCAACATCAGCATCCCCTGGGACAACTTGAGGCCGTTTC